TCAGGAAGTCCACACACATACACATACATGCATATATATGTATATGTATATATATATATATGTGTGTGTGTGTGTGTGTGTGCGCGCATATGTATATGTATGTGTGTACATGTATACACACATGCATACACATGTATACATGCACGCACACATACATCCTAAATCCCCCCCCGCTATTGGCCAGGGTCCTAATTCAAATAAATGCATCCTCCCGAAGGAGCAGGTTGAGTGCATGGGGGTGGGAGAACGAAGCTGGGCAGCACTCACCCTTCTGCTGTAGGGCCAGTTGCCTCTTGGTTTCAATGTCCTGCAGTGTGGCCGCTAGGTTACGGGGCAGGCTCCCTGTGCCATTCTGGGTGAGGAGGGCACTCTGGGGGGAAAGTTAAGCACATCAGGGTCCTGGTAGGGGGGACTGGAACCCCTTCCCGAAATCTCAGCCTCCCATACATCTCCTACCTTTCCCAGGGAACTCTTCTAACGATTCCGATTGGGCCCACCCCCATCCTCAATGTGAATACAGCCCAGCTACACACACGCACAAACACGCACGTGCATGCAGGGACGCCCTCTCCAAGGCAGGCCCCTCCTTGCTTTTACCTTCCCTCACTAACCCCGCGTCCCCCAGTCCCAGACCTTAGGAGAGGGGCTTCGGCCCAGGGTGGCAACACTGAGCTGAGAGGAAGAAGATGAAGACCCAGAGGAGGAGGGGATAGGCCCACTGCGGGTACGAGGCAGGGGGCTGCCAGCCTCACTCTCCATCTTGGAGCGGTAAACCTGAGAAAGAGGAACAAAGCTCGCTCAGGACAACCGCAGCCTCCCACGTAAAGCAACCGCCACCGTACAAGGCGATTCTGACCCCAGGGGGCTGGCCTCACACCGTAGCAGCCTCTGCCTGGTACCAGACAAACAGAGCCACAGTGGGCCAGTCCCTAACAGCTCCGAAACAGTTGAAGTTTGTCTTCCTCGTCTTTTCCTATTTGGCTTCTTTGACAGCACCTTTCAACTCCCCGCAGAGAGCCCAGAATCCTCAGGCCACCTCCCAACTTTAGCCCTCACCTCCCCACTGGGGCCTGCCTACCCTGAGCAGTATCTGCTGATACGAGCCCCACTTTTGTCCTGGTTCCTGTCCAGACCTACTTTGGGTAGGGTCTTAGAAAAAACCTGATGAGCCAATTCATGCCAAGTTATTAATGGCTCACCAAGTTCCAAGAGGAGCGAGACTGTTTTCTTCTTGTCCCCAATATGGCAGAATTAGGAGTAATGGGGTGGAAGCCTGAGAGACAAGTTCAGACCTCTCAGAGATACCCATGAGGGGAAGGAACTGTTCTGGGGAGGCAGTGAGCTCCCGCTCGTTAGATATCTTTAAGCAGAGGCTCGATGCCTCTGTTGCAGACATTATAGCAGTGGTTTCTGTCCAGGTTCATATGAGATAGACTGCTCATGAGTGGGGAACCTGTGACTTTAAGGCCATATGTGGCCTTCTAAATCCTCAAGTGCAGCCTTTTGACGGAATCCAAATTTTACAGAACAATCCTCATTAAGGTCACATGTGGCCTTAAGGCTGCAGATTCCCCACCCCTGAGCTAGACCCATGCCCCTTATCAGCTTATATCACAAATTCTGTGTTTCCATTTTATAACTCACGGGGATGAAACAATCCACAGAATCTGTTCCAAACCTTCTTTCTTAAGTCCCCAACACGGCCCCCATCTGTCAGCAGATGACTTCAACTTTCAATCAGAAAACTAATGCCATCTACCAAGAACTCCCTCATTTCTCCCACTCCACACCTCAAATCCCCCTGACACTTCCACCTGTCCTCACCTCCTTGCTCCAGACTCTAGGATGGCTCTTCTCGTGGCCAAGGCTAACCCCATCACTTGCACCCTCAATCTCCTTCCCTCCCTATCTTCCCTAGGAGCTACTCTCCCCACATAATTTTCAATCTCTCCATTTCCACCAGCTTCTTCCCTATCGCCTCCAAAATGCCTAGGTCATTACCATCCTTCCAAAATCATCACTCGGTCCTTTTATCCCCTCCAGCTACCATCCTATTTTTCTTCCCCTTTCCTGCCAAAATCCTAGCATCATCTACAATCACCACACTTTCCCTCTTGTTCATCCTGTCACGGTATTGCACTCAGGTGCAAAGTCTGATGGCCATTTAATCTCAGTCTTCATCCTCCTTGACCTCTCTGAACCCAAAGGAATGACTCTTCATTGGTGGCCTTGCAGGGACCACTGAAGTGATTGGTAGAAGGCTGGTAGATGAGCAGACTAAGGATGAGAGGCCATTTCAATGCTCCTCAAATTATAGGAACCTTGTAGGCAGTTTCTTCTATGCCCTCTATGATTTTCCACAGGACTTAGTTCTCCAGCTCAATTTTCAAGGACTCCACACCATTTTATGTGTAATGGCTGTCTCTGTCTTCTATATGGATACGTCTTGTCTCCCCAATCTAAATATAAGCTCTTTGAGGGTAGGGACTGTTTTGATTTTGTCTTTTTCAGTCATCTATCACACAGTGCCAGGCATATAGAAGAGCTCAACAAATTTATTAATTTAATCATTAGTGTATTGATTAATCTGATAATTTAATAATTTATTATCTTGGCCTCCTGTGTACTGCCTCTCCCTTGGACATCATAGGATAATAAGATGTGGCCAATCTGATCCAGGAAACACCAGTCCTAGAGGATATAACCTCACACTCAGAGCTAAGCTAGCTAGGCAAATTCTCCCCACCCCATCCCCAACCATAGACATGAGAATCATCTAGTATTTGGAGCTTAGGGATCAGAGGGAAGTGCCAGAGTGGAATCTGCCACACATAGAATGATCAATCAATATCTATTGACTAACTGCTCTATATCCACATCCTCCTTCTCACCCTGGTTCCAGTCCCTTAGAGGAGATGCCAATCTGACACTTCCTTGGAGCCCTTTCATCTTGGCTTTTGACTGAGGGGCAACCCCCCCCCCCACAAAGGCAAAAGAGCTTCATGGTCCCTGGAGCCCCATTCCCATGCCCCACCTCCATTATTCTCAGCAAGAGATGCTCAGTCTAGTCTGAGGTGAGAGCCACCAGGAATAAGAGAGCAGAAAGGAACAGAGCTGGAGTCGGGGTTGAGTTGCGGGGGGAGGGGAGGCGTTACCTGCAGCTGTCGGGAAGCTTTGGCGGGCAGAGGTGGAGGGGAGGAGCGGGGGGAGGCGGATGAGCCAGCCCCAAACCCTGCCATGAGCTCCTGGTACCACTGCTCTAAATCTAGGGCAGGAAGGAACAGCTTCTCCATCTGGAGAAAAAGGGGGAAGAGAGGAAGAAGGGGGAAGAGAGAAAGAAAGAGGGAGGTAGAAGGAGGGAAGAGTAGAAGGGAAGAGGGCAAGGAAGGAAAAAAACAGAGAAGGAGGGAGGAGTAAGAGGAGAATAAGCAGGGAAAAAAGAGGGGAAAAGAAGGGAAGGAGAGGAGAAAAGGGGAAAGGAGAACAAAGAAGGGGGAGGAAAAAATGGAGAGGAGAGAAGGGGAAGGGAGTAGGGTGAGGGATCAGGAAGAAGGAAGTAGAAAGATGAAAGTGAACAAAGAGAAGGGTGGGGAATGAAGGAATATAAAGAGAAACACAGTGAGAAAGCCATCACGTTGAAGATCCAGAGAGCAAAGAGAAGCAGAGGCCTCCATTGCCACAGAAATGCCCGTATGCCAAAGATTACACCCACCAGTCAGACCCCGCGGGCTCTGGGCACTGCCTGCTAATCCAGTAGGCCTGCAAGCCAGGGTAGGCAGGACCAGAGCTTCTGACATTGGCAGCCCCAACAGCCACATCGCAGCATTGACAGACACACACACACACACACACACACACACACACACACGGACACACACACACACACACAGACACGCCCACGGATGATTGTACGGGGAAAAGCAACAATACAGGAACCACAAACCTCGGGCAAGACGGAGGAAGAAGTAGAAGAAGAGGAGGATGGCGGCACGGGAGGAAGGCAGGTGACTTGAGGCACAGCTCGGAAGGCAGAGCCTGGGAGGGGAGGGCCGAGTGTGGGGGCTGGGGACGTGGGCACAGTGCCTGTTTGGCCACTGCCCCACATTTCCTTTAGCTGCTCAAGCGTCACATACTTGGGGGCACAAGGCATGGAGGGAAAGCGAGAAGTCAGCAGAAAGGCAATGCCCAAGAGAAGCCCCCTAGCCGGTTGGTAAGGGAAAGGAAAGAAGATGAAGGGCCAGACACGAGGGGCTGGCCTGCCAGCTGGGAATTCCTATCGCATCCAGGGCACCCAGTGAACTGGGGTTTCCCATGCCCTTGGTATTCTCACAATGTCAGTAGGAGGTCTAGCACCTTCCATATGCCATTAATTGCTGAACAGGCATTGAGATGCCCTGAAAAAAAAGAAAATAGCTATTCCAACCCACCCTGTGCCAATCCCATGCCAAGCCACCCATGCCCCTCCCCTGTTGGGGCACAGGGTCATGCCCCCTTTGGGAAGTAGTTTCCTTAATCACTGCTGATGTCTCCTTGGGCGTGAGATCCAGAGAGGCCTAGAATGGGGAGTCCACTAGGCACACAACGAACATCGGTGGCGGGTACCTCATTGGCAGGCAGGGAAAGAGTGAGAGCGTGGGGGGGAGGAGCGGAAGCACTGGGGTCCAAGCGGGCACAGAGCTGGAGAGCATCTGCCAGACTCACATATTCCTAGACCACACGGCAAGAACAAGGAGGAGGAGGGAGAAGAGATTAGCAGCACACTGCCCTGGCACCGGGCACCCATCACTCCAAGCCAAGTCAAAGGACCAACAGTCCATGCTGGACAGGCAAAACCAAATCCAGAGTTGGGGCAAGAGGAAAGGAAACTGTTTAGTCTTCCCCCACAAGATCCACCATGGGATGGGAACCCTGGCACCTTCCTGAGAGCAGCTTCTGTCTCCATAGCCTGGCGACACCCAGACCTTATAGGCAAAGATACGCAGTCCTCATGTCACCAAGCTTTGCCACCTTGGCTTCTAACTCTTTTGGCTATAGGGAATCATAACCCTCCAGACTGGGCATTGGGTTTGTCCCAGGTTAATGCTTACAAGCATGCCACTCAGTGCCCACTGAAAATCAGAGCCCATATTCAAGGTCTCCAAGGTTCACATGCCTGAAAGATAGTGGGTACCCACAACATCAGGAACACACACATGCAGCCTCAGCTAATTAGCATAAACACCACTGAGCGCCATCTTGGACCTCCATCTACCCTTAGAGAAGATGGGGGAAAGGAGGAGGTAAAGGCAAGAGGCACCATCAGGAAGATAAGAGGGCTCCCAGGAAGAGACCCCAAGCAGGTATCAGCGAAGGATCCTGGCAGGAAAGATGGTATGGTACCTAGATGCTTGGTGCCCTGAACAGTGACAGAGCAATCTGCCATCTCCAGGCAGGGCCAGGCCATGTACATCACAAGAGAAGAGGTGGGAGAATTTTTTTTTTTCTTAAGATAGGAGATGAATGAAATAGAAAATATGAGCAAACAAACAAAATTTGGCATATTGGTTTGGCACAGGTCAACCAGACACATTATGTTAGGAAAGAATCTCTCTCTCTTACACACACACACCCAGAGTTCCAAATTCTGGAGCCAAAGCCATCATCCTGTGTTTGCCACCAACACCACTGCATTTTTCTTTCTCCGGGCTGAGCTGCAGCAATGGGGGCCAAGCAGGCACAGGCAGCAGGCATGCAATTAGCAGTGATTACCTCTTGTGTCTTGGGGCAGAGCTGGGTGGAGGCGGGTGGGGTTAGGGGGCCAGCAGCAGCCCCGGGCAGGGTGGGCCTGAGCAAGGAGCCCAGAGCCTCAGTCTCCAGCCCCAACTCTGAGGACTCAGAGATATGCAGTTCATCCTACAGAGAGGGGTTGTGGTGAGTATGGGGTCCTCACATTCTTACTCTCAGTTCAGTCACCAACCCCAGGCCCAATGCACGCTATGGGTGGGGAAGGAAGAAGCTAGGGGAGAGGCTAAAATAGTGTGAAGCGAGGAAACAGGTAAAGAGATGACAGAGAGATACATATATGTGAATCCCAGGGCTAGACCAGTACTAGAGGTAGGTTCCATTCCTGGCACACGGACATAAGCCTGTATTTCATGCCAGGTGCCCTGCAGCAGTCAGATAGAGCAGGAAGAAAACTGTTCTTAAATTTAGAAGACCTGTGGGGACTTTGACCAGACTGGTTGTGCTACACAGGGCAAAGCTGTTTAAGCTTTCCAAGCCTCAGGTTTCTCATCACTAAAATGGAGATAATAAGACCTGAACTCCCTACCCTAGCAGGATCCTTGGGACCTTTGCAAACCTTAAAACACTATAGAAACACAAACATTTATAATTGATTTTTGGAAAAGGCCCCAGTGCCTACTTGAAAGACAACAACCTGGCTCTAGATTTTAAAACTTGTCCTTACCTCCCCCTGCTATACAGAGAGGGAGTCGATGGATGTCAAACATGACATATAATGTCAGACTTTTTGTAGATGTTGGTTAATGTTGCGGAATTTCCCCCCCTTTTCACTGTTTGTTATGGGAGATAGTTCTATACATAAGGAAATGTCAATGATGCAGAAACAAAAGATATTAATAAGAGTTTTTAAAATCAAAATAAATAAAAACCAGACCTTAAGTCCAGTGCTCAAGGAAGGGTGGTTAAATTTCCTGCAATACCTGGGGCACCCAGCTTCGTGACACCTCACACCAGCCACCCCCTATCCCAAGTCTCTTAGCTGCCTCTGGAAGCAAAAATCTCATCTTCAGTTCATCAATACTTGATATTCCAGAGCTTTAGGGTTCCTTAACAACGTCACCCACTGGGGCAGCCTGTGTATCAGGACATTGCAATGGGCTCCCCCGGAATAAGAAAGACAACTGAAATGCAGAAGTTGAGAACCCAAATCCTAAATTCCCTACTCCCAAATACTGGGTTTAATATAGAACCAAGTCGGAGGCCTGCCCCACCTGCCCCACTCCCCCAGACACATACACAGTCACTCTCCAATCCACATTTAAACATTAGAGGTGAAAGTATGAGGACGGTCCTCAGGGTGATCTCTGTGGCTCTGAAGCTTCCCATACCCTCTCCAGCCCCAGAACTCAGTTACCTCTTTGAGCGCTGATGTTGTCTTAGGGAAAGGCCTCCCCCCTGTGAGGGAATGGTATCTTCTCTCCAGTGCTACTAATTTCTCCTTCTCCTAGAGTCCGGAGTAGCCAGGATAGAATAGGGAGAGACATCTTGATAAGGCTCTTCGCAGTTCATCCCAACTCAGGCCCCTCACTTCTTAACTCCTCCCTCCCTGGCACTAGCCTCTTCCTTCCCCATCCCTGGTCCCCAGCCCCACGCACCTTCTGCAGCAGCTGCAGGGACGAATTCTTCTCTCGGGCCAATCGCTCAGATTCCTGAACAGCCTGGGCCCGGATCTGAGTCGCCTGGTTTTCCAACACTGCTAGGCGCTCCTAGGGAAGGGGACAGGAGGACAGCTGGTCAGGACACAGGACAACAGCACACTGGACATGATAGGTGCTTAATACTATTCAACAAGCTTTTGTAAAGTACCTACTATGTTTGAGGCACTGAGGAATACAGAGACAAGAGAGTCCCCGCCTTCAAAAAGCATATATTCTACTAAGGAACAGAACATGTAAATAGATAAGTAAATTTTGAATTGTTTGTTGAAATGCTTCAGTAGTGTCCAACTCTTTGTGACTCCATTTGGGGTTTTCTTGGCAAAGATATTAGAGTGGTTTGCCATTTCCTTCTCCAGCTCATTTTATAGATGAGGAAACTGAGGCAAACAGTGTTAAATGACTTGCCCAGGGTCACACAGCTAGGAAGTGTCTGAAGTCACCTTTGAACTCAAGAAGACGAGTCTTCCTGATTCCAAGTCCAGTGCTCTATCCACTGCACCACCTTGCCACCCAGATAAGTAAATACAAGCTAATTTAAGGAGGGTAGCCCCAGTAATTAAATCAATCAAAAAGGTTTCCTAGGAGGTAATGCCTGAGCTAAGAATTTTAAGAGGTGGAAGTGAGCAGGGGAGCATTCCAGGCATGGGGGACAGTCTGTAGAAAGCCACAAAGGCCAGGGATGGGGTGCTGAGTTCTGGGAGCAGCACATTGAACAGAATATAAAATGCACAACAGGGAGTAGTTGTTTAAATAAGTTTAGAAAGAAGGTTG